TGTTTGTGTGTGTGTGTCTGTCTGTGCCTTCGTGCACAGCGACGAAGCATGTAACTTCACGAAATCGCTCCCTCGACTCGGCATCTCTCATTCGAAACTTGAACTGCACTGACAGCGGCTGTGTTGTAGGCGTGCACAAGCCACATTCAAGCCGCGGTGCTCAAATTGCGGGTTCACTCCAACGTTCCACATGACCGGAGTCTGGAAACGCTTGAACTCACCAAGCCTCGGACCAGTTACAATTACAGGCAGCGGCAGTGAACGAAAGCTTAGCAACCCGAACAGGTGCATTTTCTGAGCAATCGAAGTCAGTGCTCAGGCGAGCGCTTCACGATGCAATATGGGTCTAGCTTGTCGAAGATGGAGTCCCCTGGCAAGCGATGCGAACTAACAGAAGCCCGAACACGTGAGAATATTTCGGAACAACGGCAGCTCCCTTTTCCACTGGCTGAAGCTGCCGCTAACCAAGAAGCAACGAAGCGCCAGAATCTGCCTTCAGGGCTTGGGGGCCTCAGACGCGCTGCGCAGTCTGAGAGCCAGCCTCTCGCTGCCACCATCCTCGTTTCAACGTTGCACAAGCCGCTCTAAGTCTAAGCGTTTGACGCAACAAGACCTCCTTGCCTCAGACATGCTGAGGGACATGCGGAGGTCTAGCTTACTTTAAACAGCACGAAACCAAAACAGGTGACATTTGACCAGTGCAGCTGAGTTTCAATGGTGGCACCGGTCTCTGGGCCGTATATGGTCAGCTCTGGACTCTTGGCCAGGGATTGAGGCACTTGCGGACGTTCGGCTGCATCCAACATTCCGACGCCGACCGAACTATCTTCGTTAACCACCAGCGTCGGACCGCGTCCGAGCTCCTTCACGAGCCCTCCAATGCCAGCGTCTGTCGAATCCTTTACATCTGGCAACAGCAAAACCTGGACATTCTGTCTTGCATCTCCAGAACCAAACAACATGTTGCCGGGCGGAAGCTCTGGCATGTAGGCCTGCATTTCGGGCGACACGAGCTTGTAAGCACCACGTGCCTCCAGCCCAGCATCCTGCAAGCTCTTGCTAACCTCTTCAAAAGCTTCTGGTTCCACAGATAAGGCGATGAACTCGACGGGATCACGCCGGTCTTCCACATAAGCACGAACCATGACTCCGGCAGGGGATTGGACGGCATAGTAACCATAGCCATCAATTAGCTGCCCTCCTGTTGAAACCACCCTCGAGATGCGGACGAGGGCAGGTGTGACTGTTTGGACGAAACTCAGGCAGGGTGCCTTGGACGATCTGTCCGATTTGCCAGCACCTGGTGTTGATGAGGGCACAATCTTGATGGCAAAATACCCACCCTCTTCACCCCCAAGGCTCGGGGGACCAAACCCAACCAACACGCTACCACCAGGAAGTGATGCATAACGTTGCATCCCAAGCGCTTCGCACCAAAACCGTTCCTCCTTCGCGACATCGGACGTCTCAATTTTGAGTTGACCGACAAGTCGAGTTTGCTTGTCTGTTTTCAACCTGTCTTGGAGATCCTTCAGAAACGTCTCATTCATGCTGATTCGTTCCAGCTCCTTCTGCCAGAAGTCCACCATCTCAGGCTCGCCTTTGTCGGACTCACCTAATCCGATTGCCTTGCCTTGCTCTTTCTCTGCCGCTTCCAGCCGATCCTTGGCAGACTTGAGCTGAATCTCAACATTCTTCTTTGCACCAATGGCTGGTCGAGCTGGGCAATTCACAGCCGCATCGATGATTGCAACGCAGGTTGGCGGTGACACAGTGCCATCTCGTGCTACTGCGGCAAACGGCCACCACAGGAAAAGGCAGAGCACAAAGGCAGCCCAGACGTTGCCTGACTTCTGAGTTTGCAACGTTCCCCGTCCATCCGGCTCCCGAGCTGGTCCCGGTGATGCGGAAACCCTCTGATGCACACCTCTGACTGATCCAGCCGCAGGTTCTTTAATCTTCACCTCAATGAAAGTCTGGCCAGGGAATCCTGCCGTGCTAACATGTAGGCACAGACAAGCCGCCGCTGCACACAGCAAGTGGGCAAGCACCGCCATGGCTGCGGAGTTTTTAACAAGGTTCTTGGACGTTACACGGTTACACGTTAGTTAAGTCATGTAAATACAGAATGCAGATCACTCTAACGAGCAGGTGCACAAGCATAGGCCTAGAGCACGTGGCTTGGACAATCGTAAGTCTGCAGCCGCGCACGCAACGAAGCACAGAGAGCGAGCGAGAGAGAGAGAGAGAGAGAGAGAGAGAGAGAGAGAGAGAGAGAGAACGAGTGCACGGGAAACCACTTGAGCCTGCGAGCTTCTCCGCCTTGTCCAGGAAAATACCTGATAGCAGTCGATACTGCGCGAGTGCTCAGGCGTCCCGCTGCTCGACTGTGCGGACAAGGTGCGCATTCGTTTCCTCTTCGGAGGCAAAGCATCCAGCCTTTCGCTCAGCTTGATGTCACCGCGAACCTCTATGCCTCGCACACGGAACACGAGATGCTTTACATGATCTCTGCAAGCCCTTCACAAATGCTATCATTTCAGGAAAGAAGCTTCCCTTCGAAACCATCACGACGCTCTCTTCCACGGGTGGGTCGCTCAGCAATTCCTGTAGCAGTTGCAACTGCAAGCTCTTCACGAAGCCCTCTAAGACACAAAAGATGGACAGGGTTGCTACGGAGCCTGGCCGGGCAACAAGTGGACCTGGGTGGCAACCTGATGCAGGCGCTGCCGAATGCACTTTCATTCAACTATCCGAGCCATTCGCCTTGGCTAGTTCTTCGAGAGCATGTTTCACAGCACCTGGCTGCTTCTCCTCAGAGGAGCCGAGACTGACGGGTGTTTCGGCGCTTCCTGGCTTATATCTCCTCTAGGATCTTCGTTTTCTCGGCAAACGACAGGGAGGCCTGAGCAAGGAGCCACCATGCAAATCCCTCCCAATCTCATAAACAGCAACAAGACCACAAAGGACCCTGCAAAATCTATTTTGCTGTGTGGTCCAGTCATACTCTCAGGCAGCACCTCAGCTACTCATGATCGCCCTCCACATCTCACTGCAGACGTACTAACAGAGCACGTGTCGAAAGTCAAGTTGAAGCGAGAGGCAACTCTGGAGAGCGCAGGCGCGTGACGCATACTCAAGGCGATCTTTCTGTTTCCGAAGGCCCGATCTGCATACGCAGCCTGCCGGCACAATTCAATCGAACAGAATCCCCACAAAACCACAACGCGTTCGAGGGCAAGCTTCTGCTTCTAGGAGCCTCCAATACCTCATTGCCCAAAACCTTGGAGCACAGGAGCACTCTGGCCCGCTGCCATGCCATGCCCCTGCTCGGCCCATCTTAATATGTTCTGCTTCCTGGGAACTCCGATGATGCATGGCTCTTCGCATTGCGCAGCACCGCCGACTATGTCCATCATGCACTCGTCCCCTAACCTCCCACCAAGTGGCAGAATAGAGTATGCAGGAGTGGCGACACTTGGACGTAGCCAGCCTGAAGTGGTTTTCGCCGAAAATGGCTCCCTTGGTGAGTTCTTGACGCTCACCAACACCATTTGGATCCACATAGAGGTGCACCTTGCCTGCAACCGCAAAGAGCAAACGAACAGCGCTGGAAAGGTACTCAATGCCTTCACCTGCTGTTATTCCTCTGCTGTGTGCTGATTCTGCTCATGCTCTCCAACGGGGCACCTGACATGAGCAGGAAAGATCTAGAAGTCGCCCGGGGCCACGCGGCCGCAATCTGTTCGCTGCCGAAAATCCAGCGGCCCATCGAGAGCCTGGTTGCAAACGGAAGAGAAAAAAGGCCGTGCTGCCAATGTGCTCTGCAATCCAAGGCCTCAAGAAGGGCAGCGCACGCAGCAGCCTGTCAAAGAACATCTCACAGTCTCACCACCCGAACGACTGCGCCCATGGCAGGCAGTCGCAGCAGCCTGTCCAACTGCACATCGTCGAAGCGCTGGAAGAGCAGGGGGTTCAAGCTGCGAATCTCGCGGGCGACGGACCTGGGTCGTCTTTGCAGAAGTACTGGGCTGCATAAGTCAATATAAGAGTGCTACCAATTGTAAGCCTCCTCTTGATGCGTGCGAGGCACTTTTCCAGGAATCTTAACTCTGTCTGCATTTTCTGCGGTACTCTGTGGCCAGTTTTCTCTGTGTTCAAGGCCAACTGTCGTATCCTGGCTCGAAGCACATTGCAGACTCATGCCTGCCTGGAGCAGACACTCAAACGTGACAAGAGCATTTGCGATAGCAAGACCAGACCTGTAGTACAAGGGCAGGTAGAAGGTCAGACCTTTGGCCGTCGTCTCATCTGCCCCTGAGTCATGGCCAGCGAGAGCACAAAAACCATGCTTGCGGCACCTAAGGAATATCACTTTTGGCACGACGATAAAGGCAGCGAAGCTTTGTCGCGGCAATGCCTTGTGACAGTCTTTGTCACTGGCAACTCAATTCTAGCCATTTCGGGCAGAATTGCTAATCGAGGAGGAGGACAGCGGAGCCTGCGGAAGGCGTGGCTCACGCAGCACGCAGTCGCAGCACACTTCCAGAATGCATGACGTAGCGAATCTACAGTCTTGAGGTCGCGACTGTCAGCGAATACGACAAAGACCCCAACGTGTCCGCATCTCTTGGTGGTCGCAGCCGGCCAATAGGTGCACGATTGTCCTGAACAGGCAAGTGCTCACAACAAGGCTCTTGTCTCTGTACCCTTCTCCGACACCTACTGCTGCTGCCTCCTCCTGCTGCTACTTCTACTTCTACTTCTACTTCTACTACTACTACTACTACTACTCCTCCTCCTCCTCCTGCTGCTGCTACTGCGGCAGTCAGCACCTCCTAGAGAGCGTTGACCCCCCAAACAGCTGCTGCCTTGCTGTTGGCCAGCCGGGTGTCATTTGACAGGGCAGCCCTCTCCGGAAGATCGGCACTTCCGCGCGGGAGGCTCGGCATGAGCGGGGCCAAGGAGTCTGAGAGAGCTAATCCGTCCATCTCGGGAGAGCTGGAGTCCTTCCTCTCGCCGCCAGCAGCCTGCTTCAAGCTTGCATCCAACTTGCTTGGGCTAGGCGAGGCCTGGCGCAATCTGCGTCGATATGGACTGGTTCCAGCCTCAGGAGCGGGCCCGCACCACTCATCTTGAGAGGTGCCTCCTAGTTCTTGTTGTATCTTTTGTTGCAGCATTCGTCGCTCACGCCTGGCCTCTGCCGCGGCATCCTTCAGAGCCTGCAGATGCTTTGCCTCGGCTGCTGCACGGTCCTCGGGGGTGCGCGGCTTGTAAACTGTCGACCGTTGTGTACTTTCGGATCTCTCGTTCTCACTTGCCTCCTCCGCCTCAGCCTTCCGTTTTGCGTCGATGAGCTTCCGATCGCGGCGTGCTTGCGCGCGTGCCTCCTGTAGAGCGAGCAAGTGCTGGGCTTCTGCACTTTCTCGACTCTCCTTGGTCCGTGGTGAGCTCGGCGAGTTTGCGATCTCGAGGCCCTGGTTTGTGCAAGGATCTGGGCCTTTCTCAAGTTCTTTCAACTTTTGTTGAACCTGGCGTCGATCTCGACGCGCCTGCGCAGCTGCTTCGTGCAAGTCGAAAAGATGCTTGGCTTCATCCGCCGAGCTTGCTCGCATCCGAGCTGGCTCGTAGTCCGTTGAATCCATATCACGCACTCGGGGCGTCTCCAACTCTCGGCGCAGACGCTGCTGTCCGTTTCGCCGGTCACGCCGTGCCTGCGCAGCTGCCTCCTGCAATGCTCGCAGATGCTCAGCCTCGTCCACCACCTTTCGAGAGCTGACGGCATATTCTGGCTCCTCGCTGCGGCTTCGACGACGCCACTGCCATGGTCCCTCGGTGCCTTCAACACGCGCCTTAACAGCCATAGCTGCATCCCGGTTCTTTCTGAACTCGTTCGCTATCTGCGCACTCTCCGGAAGAGGTGGCTTCCTCCGATGTCCATGGTCAGTCTGCTGCAGGAGATGCTCCAGCGAATCCGCCATGTCGTGCTTCTCAATCTTCTCATGCTTCTGCTGCACGTGCTGCGGCACAAAAGTCTCATCCTGAGGAGTGTTGCAGTCTGACTCGAAGACAGAGATTGCAAAGCAAGGCCTCGTCAAAACTTCTTGGATGCAAGGCCGCCTCTCTGGGGTCTTCTGCAGCATGTCAGACACAAGATCCTGGACCGACTGGCTGAAGACTGCCGCCAGAGGCGCAGGAGTGGCAGTTACAATGTTGTTGATCAGTGCTGCCAAATTGCTGCCGGTAAATGGTGGCCCTAATGCCAAAAGCTCGTACAGGACCACTCCAAGCGACCAGACATCAGCCTTCATACCATAAGGCTGGCTGTGGCAGACTTCCGGCGCAAGATACAGCGGAGTTCCGATCATGGTGATCGCTTCGGCAGCTGTGTGTGCAAGAACTTTGGCGATGCCAAAATCCCCTAGCTTCACACAGCCCCCTTGCGTCAAGAAAATATTCTGAGACTTCAGATCGCGGTGCAGTATGTGTTGAGTGTGTACATGCTGGATGGCAAGGCAGATCTGTCCAAAGATCTTCAAGGCTTCGCTTTCACAAATGATCTCCGATGCAGCCTTCCTCCCTTTGATCAAATGGCTCAGATCCCCACCGTCGGCATATTCCATCACGATGCAGAGCATCTGCCCCTCCAGGAAAGACTCGCAGTATTCCACAATATTCGGGTGTTTCAGCCGCTTCAGCACATCGGCTTCGTTCTTGGCTTCCCTCTGCGAGGAAAGAGGCATGCGCGACAAATCAATCTCTTTGATGACACCTTGGCCGGCGACACAAGGGGGGGTTTTGCAGGCATGCGGCTTTGACCTGCTTGGAACGCGGTGATGTGCTCAGGTTTTGTGCTCTGTGCTGACCTAATACTAATGACGCCTTTGGACAACAGGCCTCACAAGCGAGCGCTTGCACCCGAAGAACACTCGTGAATTCAGCACTGCTCAACTAAGGCGACGACGCTGTCGACGATTCCTTCTCTCCCGAACAAGGACGGCACAACCGTACGAGCCACGGCCAAGTTCGCGCAGGCGCTCGTATCTCTCCATGGCACCATGCTCAAGTCCTGAAACTGCAGGGCATTCAGGTCAACTCCATGGTTCCTGCTCGAGCCAGCAGCTGGCATTCAGAAAGCACGGACGGAACATAAGATTTTCCCACGGCTTTCAAGTGCTCTGAGCCTGGATATGCTTGGGCCTTCCCTGGTCGTCCTGCCAACATCGAAGGGGTGCATGATATCATATAATTATACCGATCTCAGAAAAAGCAGCCCCCACCGCGGTCCTGGCCAAGTGCCCTGCGTTGTGGCGGCTAGCGCTCCGTCATGTTTGGCACCCGAGAAGCCCTCTGACAAAGAGAGGGCAGTGTTCCGTTTCCTTCGAGGCGACGGGTCCCCGGGTCTCTCTAAGAAGCTCAGGCGCTACAAACGAGACACAGAAGCGTCCTCTCGGCGACCAGGTCAGGCAGGCTGACGGTTCGCGGATTCATGCCCAGCTATCTGGACTTTCTGTGTTGACTTCAGAATGCTGACTGAGGTTGTAGGCTGGTGTGGGTGCTATGAGTGAGTGAAGCCGCGGCAGTGCAAGTGAGTTAGACTGGGTAGACAAGCACGCTTTCTCATTTCCAAACACCCCCTTCTGCGGGGTGTTTGTGCCAAAACGGCTGAAGGACGGGGCACCATCACTGACGAGGCGCATGATGACACGCTTCCCCTCCCGAAGATGCACAGGAGCTCAGGCACATCGCTTGTCACGGCCAACACAAGCGCAAAGTCTCTGAGTAGCCTTGTGTCGTGCCTGACAAGACATGTGCGATATGAAGGTCACCAAGCATTGCCCGACGGTAGGCTGGAAGCTGTCACCAACATATGCTGGCAGCTCCTGCCCCACCTGATGGGCGCAGTATCTGCAACCAAAAGCCTCCTCCATGTCAGCACAATTGTTGAGAAAATGCAAGGCTTCTGCGTCACATAGCTGGCCCGACTTGGCACAAGCAGCGTCACAGCTTTCTCCGCGCTCTGCCCTTACTGGGGCGATGTGGGCATCCCGCACAACACGCATGGGCTTTGGAAGGTACGGCTTCTCACTTCTCCTGTCTGCGAAAAGGACAACAGCCTGGAAAACGGCATGACGTCCCACTACCAGCCCATGATGCTCAGCCCGGACATCAGGCGGAATCACATTGTTCATTTTCATGGGAACCAGTCCAAAGATTGGTGCGATGTGTACGTACGATTCTCTGACATAAGGCAAGATGTACAAGTTCTTCGGATCCAAGACCCCCGTTGTGCGTGCTTCGTATAACGTCCATGCCGCATGTGCCTTTCCCACAGGCTGATAATCCTGACAGCATCTGCACCCCCAATTGGGGTAGTTGGGTGCAAACATAAAATACTTTGAACAACGGCTCCAGCCGGCAAGCACAGCACACGTGTCCGGATCGGCATGGGCTCCAAGATTGACAGCTTCCGTGTCGCACTGGTATCCTTCCTGATGCACAACGCTGACACCCTTGAGCGGTACGGCCATTTGGGTAGCACGCAGTATCCAACTTTCATAATTTGCCTGTATGAGGTAGGACAGGTTGCCAAAGTGGTCACAGCTCGATGAGCCGCTGCAGGAGCTTGCGAGGCTCGCTAAGGCCATGGACTGGAAGTACTCAACTTGCTTGGCCTGAGTGATGGATGAACCATTCTGGCTGAAGTGGCGGCTTCGTGGGACTTCTGGAACTATGCATTCCTTGCTCCATCTACGGAATGCAGTGCGCATCCAATAATCCCAACCCATCGTTGGCGCAGACGGCCACTGCTCACGCAGCTTTAACCAAGAATGTCGCGGCAACATGAAGCCCAAACCAGGAAAGTATGTCGTCCTGAAAAGGCGACACTGGTCAGAAACTTCGAAGGTAAACCCCGCGTCATTCCAGGCACTCACGCACCACAAACTTTCATCCTGCTGAAAAAGCGGCCAGGTGCTGAGGAACAGGGCAAGGAAATCAGGTGCAAAAACTAAGTCTTCCTCCACGAAAACTGCGTGCGTGAACTCCTCCACCAGAAAGACCCTTTCGAAAGCTGCCCAGTAGTGGTGAGCGATCTTGCCTGTGTTCGTGCTAAACCATTTCTGCTGCTCTTCGTTGTCAGATGTGTGGTTGACCTCTCTCTTCGGCACAGACATCGTCACAACACTCTGGTTATACTGCTTGGCAATTCTTGTAGCCACCTCTGCCATCCTTGAATAGTATTCCGGATCATCTAATGACACGTATACCTTAAACATGCCTGCCTCTCTTAAACTCAGAAGTGACTTCAAGCACTCAAACAAATCGCTCTCTCGATTGTGGCCAAGAACAACGATTGCAGCATTCAGCTCGGCAGAATGTGTGTGAATGGGTTGCCGGTCCTGCTGGCATACCCCAGCATATAGACACTCTTTCACGTGCACTCCTTGGGAAGCAAGTGCGAGCTTCTTGCCTTTGACCAGGTGGCAATGTCTGGAATGCACAGGGTTGCTGCACAACACGCCTTGACAGTCATTGCCACGGAGCATGCACAAACTCTTGGCCTGTGCGAGCCCATAGGTGTCCGAGCTTACATTCGCATCGTCAAAGCCGGAACGCTGCAAATGCTTCCATTGACACTGTTGTACAGCCTCGTCCGGAAGAGAGGTTGGTATTGGACCGCGGATTCGGCTAGAGCATCGCAGACAAACAGGAAGCTGGACATATTGGCTGGGCTCGCTGTGCCCAACACTGCTCTGGATGCGCACAACCGGGCCGACATCCCATTGTACTTGGCTCCACCTCCATACCAAGAACATGCAAACTGCGACGTTTAACAACACCAGCCCAAGCAACAGCTGCGAACTGCAGGCAGAATTCCCATGGCGGCTCTTTCGAGACATCGCTTTCAGATTCAGTACACATTGACCATCAACAGGAGGGTGGACGCTAACGAGACGGTGCTGGAACCTGAGTTGGTTGGTCAAAGTGACGCGCAGCGTCTGGCACACACCGACATACACCAAACCTCTGCCTTCAACCCGCATGCATGCGTTCGTGCCATTCATTAATTAATTATTTCAGTCCATGCGTCCGTTCATCCTTCCATCTATTCACCCATCCATGCAAGCATGCATGAAAGGCAATTGTGTCATGTCTTATCCTTTCTTAAAATTACACCGTGCTTCATTCGATTCATTGGTTTCATTCACTCCTTTCATTCATGTCGTCAGGTTCATTCAATTCATTCATGTCTTTCGTTTCATTCATTTCTTTCATTTCATTCGATACATTTCATGCATCTCATGCGTCTCATTCATTTCATTCGCTTCATTTCATTCGCTTCAATAATTTCTCAGTTCTATCCTCCGTTCATTTGTTTCACTTCGTTCATCCATTCCATTCCATGCCATCCATGCCATTCCATTCCATGTCGTTCATTCATTTGAACTCAGTCATTCATTCATTTGTTCCCCTTCATTCCTCTCTTCCTGCATTCATTCATTCCTGCATGTATACGTGGATGCATGCATTCTTTCATGCATGAATCATGCCATGGAAAAATTGATGCAGCTAGTCATAGGTCCATAAAGTCATAGATTCATAGGTACACAGGTACATATGTAGAATAAACACATACATACATACATACATACATACATACATACATACCTGCATACATACATACGAATAAGTAGCATGTACACTAGTATGTTTGTATTCTGTCCGAATATCAGAAGACCCGAAAAAATCCAAGATGCAAGGAGATCTGCGCCGCCCACGGAGACGCTTAAAACGGGCAATTGCACAGTTTCTGCTTGCTTCAGAGGCTCGAGTCTGACTGCTCTTTGCGTTATCATTGTCTCTTTTCGTGTCCGTTCGCAATATTTGTCGCCATTGTTTCTTGCCTTCCAAACAACGGTCGGGTGCCCGGAAACGAGACACTACAACACGCCTGCATTTGAGAGCACAGAAGCGAATCAGTCTTTTACTATTCGCCAAGCGCGTGTGTGTGTGTGTGTTTGTTTGCATCTCTCCCTCTGCCACACAGATTGACATCTTTTAAGCAATGGACCTGGTGATGGCTGCACGTGCATGAAATGAAGGACTTGGTATCACTGAAAGATGACTTGAACGGCATGCGCTGATGCATATAGACATGATTACTGGATTGTTTTACTTATCTAGCTAGCTTGTCGATATGTTTGCTATGTTGTATTGGTGCGTCATGGATTTTATCCACATATCCCGGAATCTCTGCTTAGATATTGTAGGTGTACAAATGTAGGCAGCAAGTACTTGGAGGAAGCACATTGCTCAAACGATTATTAATGTATCTTTGAACCTGGAAACTGATTCATGCCGGACTAAGGCCTGTGCCTGACCATCATAAAAGCCCTTAACTGTTAGTTGGCACAGCAGAGACCGCGGAGGAGTTTTGCTTTGCTGTGGCGACAACTTGTCTCAGCACAACCATCACATGTAGATCCTTCTCGGTTGAGGTGAGCCAGGGCCACAAATACAAAAGCGTTAGGGAGATACGTCTCGACTTAGCTAAATTGTCAAGGACAGGGTCCTTTGCTCGGAGGAGTTGCTAGACGAACGTAGGCAAATAAAAGTGCAGCATTCAGCATCTATATACCACGGCAGAAATGCCAATTTCTGGATACTGCAGTCAATTACGGCGGTAAGGGTTGATGGGGGTTTGTTCAAGTTGGTTTATGCAAATTTGTCCTCGGCTCTGGCAAGATCACAATTTGGGGAGAGTGGTGAGTTTAGTCATCAAAAGGACTGGGGAAGCAGGAGAACGATGAGCAAGTGAAACCTCACAAAACACATGGCAGCGCTTACCAAGAAACAAACATGACAGAACCAGTGACGGGCATACCGGGCTGAGGCTTCAATTCCACAAGAACTCGCATAGTGTAGCACTGCCGGAGTTTGAAGTTTTCGATTCCCGCGTCTCAGGCTAGATCGCAGGTCGCGCTCGTAGACAGATTGCTGCACGAATGCTCGACGACCTGCTTCTTCGATCAACGAGTGGCGGTGGAACATTTCCGTTGAAACAGTGACACAGCATCCTTGTCTTTCAAAGTCCGGATTGCAGGTTGCTGGCTTTGACCTGCACTCTCCGTCCATGTCTGCAGGGAGCACGGTGAACGGAATGCATGGCAGGCCGATGCCAATGGACGGCACTGCCCTGTGTCTATCAGTCTATCTCACGATGTGGCGGAAAGAGTTCCCAGGAAAGTATAATCCACTCCGTACAACTTGATGGGCATCATAGTTCGGTGCGCTCTGCGCACAGTGTCTCACAAGATCCATAAAGCTCTGTGACCTTGCTCCTGGCTGTTGCGTCACGACGAACAAAAGCAAATTGGATGTTGCAGTTGAAAGGATCCTGCGATGCAAGGCCTTGGCCCATCACTCCAGTGCCACACTCGCAGATGGGAAACATGCGAATCTTCCCAGGGCCGTCTTTGCCATATTCGTATGGCACGCGCCCGGTCTCAACCTCATCATTTGGATTCAATCGGGCTCGGCATACACAGTTCCTTCGAGGTTATGGTAATGCTGGTATCATGTGTGGACCTACAGGCCTTCAGCAAGCAAAAACTGGGAAATGAGGCTACCAAACAAGCAGGTCGGGAAACTGCCTCTGAATGCATTCGGATGGGCAATGTGCTGTTGACACAATCGTGCCCCAGACTGCCATGTCGAAAACCAGGAAATGTCTCCACATCCTCCAAGCCGAACATGAGAAAGTTGTGGGACTGCATGATCCCCATGATCCACAGCATTCCAGACCTGCCGATTTCTGCTTCTATCATCTCAACCTGAACGATTTCGGTCTTGTGGAGGACGGCGCGGACACCAGCAAACACGGCTTCGTAACTCGCACGGTCATCCACGTCTATCTTCAATAAATCGATCTTGTCCACGTTCTCGAAGAGATCTTCTACGTACCTTGCTGCTGCACTTAGGCCTATTGTCAGTTTATTCATGCACAACACGAACAACAATCCGCCTGACCCGAGTCTGCCTCGAAGCCAGGAAATTTGGCACGTCTGGGAAAGTCCAGCCTTACGACAACGCCTCCTCTCCGCACGTTCCCTACTGAGGCATGGGGGACCACGCAAGACTGCACGGCCAAGGGCCAAGGGGCGAGTTGCCGGCCACAGGTCCATGCAAAATCCCGCGCGTGTGCCAACCATTGATGTCGCGGGTCAGCTCAACGAACTGGCGCTCTGCTGCTGTGCCATCGCGGCCGAGGCTGTAGCCGGTCTCGAACCTTGGCTTCTAGCGACCGGCTGCAGCACCGAGAGACTGTGTCACCTGGAGGGTACGGTGTTTTGTTCGACGGTTTCGGCGTTGGTCACAATGATCCAAAGTTTTCCAGGGCAAGTCACAACCGAGGAGCATGTGAACTACATGGCCTTCACTGAGCAAGGGCCAACTGCACGAGCCAGAGTCACCCGCTCCGATATCAACTGCAACTCCTGCATCCACATTGCAGTAAAACACAGTATTCTGTCGCTTCCTGCCATGTATGTCAGTTTCGCTTCGAATAAAGTGAATTTTAGGTTCATCTGTTTTGGGAAAAAGCATGCTTCGAGTCCATTGCCAGTTAGGGCAGCCATGCATATGTCTCATTTCAACACATACAGAACCCACAGAACCCAATGTTCAAAGTAGGCAAAACATCATCGAAAAGCAACACACGTTCCAAGCCCGAACGATTACACGTACGTTCGCGGGCATTACAAAGCCGGACAAACACTGCCTCTGACACTTGCCTCCCACCTGGATGCGACAACCCGAGAATGCCCGAAGTAAGGACCATGCCTTTGCCAGTGGTAGATAACCGTATCAACCATGGCAAAATGTCGCAGTCTCCGATCTTGTCTTGGTCATCGCTTGGAAGGAAAACGCCGAATGGTTCGGCATCCTCATAAACTTGGAAGTGAAAAGTACACACGAAATACTCGTAGCCATACTCCCTCTTCAGTGCAGGAAAATCGCCTCCGTCGCCTATACAAGATGACTCCCGAAGCCTGCGACGCAACTTCTTCCGTCGACCAGCTGGCAGTCTGTCCAGGTGAAGTTTATCCAGAGCCTTCACATACAAATATTCTGATATCGCTGGAGTCGCACGACATACTCGGTCTGATGGCGGGTTTGGTAAGCAGAAAACCCCGTCCGCTATCTTCACGCTTGTGGAAGAGATTAGGCTGTGCTTGGCTGCCGTAGGTTGCGAGATGGTCAGCAACAGAACAACTGATGCCCAGTTCCGGGGATGCCATGTGACGCAATAGATCATGATGGGACGAACGATGCTTCGGCTGAGCCAAGAACGAATCCAAGTTGAATGAGGCCTTGTCACGTGCTGCATTTTGGATCGGATCTTCCTTCTGTCCTATCTGACCGTATCCGTTTGCATGGACTGTCAATCACAGAATATGCGCTGACGGCGCACACGTGACAACCCTGTGGCAAAGACCACGGTGATGATGTGATGGGTGGAGAGCGCCGAGAAGGCTTTTTCACAGAAAGTCTCGAAACAAATCCCTGAGCCACACCAGCCAAGAACTTATGTGCTTCCGCCAGCTGAGACTGTACAACAGCCCAATGGGTAGCAAAGCCACACTCAAGAAGTCATGTTGGTACAGCCATGATATGCCACGATGCTATAGGGCTGGAGGCTGTCGCTGATGCTGATTTGTTTTCCAACATTGCAATTGATGACGTTTCGCCCCTGGTATTTCATGGTTAGTGTTAATCAAGGCCCGGCCCAGCGAGTGGGGGTTGCAGGCACAGAACGTGCTGACAATTGGTGAGCAGCGCTTCAGTGTCTCGCAAGCAGACTTGGGTGAGGTGCTACATACACAAGCCGGTCTCTCGCCAGGCTCCAAAATCACTGGACTCACAATTTCCCAACAACCGCAATGGCACCTGGTTCAAAGGAAGTTGTGTGCTTTGTCTGCTAAAGGAGTGAAGTTGTTGTGGAATGGGGAACCGACGGATTGCGCTTCTGCGACTCCATGTACATCTAGCTCTGCGTTTCTGCAGACCCTCTTCCAGGCCCTCGCATTCCCCATGAAACCATGCCTCGGCTTCCGCGGACATGTTTGTCTTCACTTGTTGGGGCTCAAGCAAAGCCCACGTGTTCCAAATATCAACATGCAGTCCCACAAGCCCGGCAGGTATCAGCCCTCTCTTCAAGCTTGCACCAGGCATGGGCTGATTCAATTTCCTCACACCTCGTGTGGATGGGTGGGAAACAAGGTTATTTCCAGCACACCTTGCCTTTGTGCGATGCATGACTGTATTTGCCGAAGATGGTCAACGACGCAGAATGATGCAGAGTCCGCACTGTCTGCACCCAGCACTTGCACATGCGTCCCTTCTTCCCGCCATCATGCGCAGTCTTTCAAGCCTTTAAGCTGAATACAAGGATTCGTTTACATATTTACAGGAGCCGCTTGGCACAGAACAGCTCGCTCTGCCCAACGCGCCGGCGCAGGGCTGGCGGATCTGAGGCATCGCTCGCTGACGGGGTCAGGCGAATCCAGGCAATCCAGGTTTCTGGGTCACCTCATGCGCTTAGTCCACCCACTTCGCGAGGTACGTGCTGCCCTTCAGCGCAGCATCCACCTGGGCCGTGTTCATGGCCGTGTACTTAGACAGGTCCTTGGGGTTCTCCCACTCGAAAAACTTGATGCCATCCTTGGTGACGGGCTCGCGGCCGAAGTGGCAGTAAGCCGCCGTCTCCTGGTACTTTGGCTCACGCAAAGCCAGGGACTGAGCAATGGCACCAGGGCGGCAGTCGAACTCGATCTTCAGCACCTCGTAAGTTACTTGTAAGGTAAATTGTGAAGCTCAATAAGGTAGGGACATCCTTGTAACATGCTTACGCTTACATGCGTGTTGGGGCCCCTACCTTGGTGATGTCATCAACGGTAAGGCTGCCCTTTTCGCTGCCATAGGTCTCCACAAACAGGGACAAGGGCTTCGCCACGCCAATGGCATAGGACAGCTGCACTAGGCAGCGGGCGCTCAAGCCGCTGTTGACCACGGACTTGGCCATCTGGCGACAGATGTAGGCAGCTGATCGGTCAACCTTGGTGGGGTCCTTGCCGGAAAAGGCACCACCACCATGGGCTCCCTAGCCTCCATACGTGTCCTTAGCCCATGGTAATGATGGCCAACGGGTCAGATGTTGACAGCATGTCACAACACAAAAAATCTGTGACAAACAGCCACATGTCTGACTGAAGCAAGCTCCCGAAACAAAAACATCTCCAAGAATCAATGATGATCTTCCGACCAGTCAAGCCTGCATCGCCCTGGGGCCCGCCGATGATGAACTTGCCGGAAGGGTTGATGTGCAGGTGTGTGTGGCTGCCATACAAGCTGATGGCCGGCTGGCCGCTCTTCAGTTTGATCGACTGAAGGGTCCGCTTGATAACCTTTTCTTCAATGTCCTTGTTCATCTGCTCCATGCTCGGTGCGACCATCTCGGCACCAGTGTAGCCAGCACATTCCTGGGTGCGCTTGGCCTTGGATGGCTCCGCATGCTGGGTGGAGATCACCACAGTGTGGATCTTCTTCGGCTCAACAGACCCATCCGGGTGCTGCATGTACTCGATCGTCACCTGCGTCTTGCCGTCAGGTCGCAGCCACCAGCACTCGCCGCTCTTGCGCACTTCTGTCAGGGTCTTGCCGAGCCTTGTGGCCATGGAGTGGGTCAGCGGCATGCAATCCGAAGTCTCATCGCTGGCATAGCCGAACATGATTCCCTGGTCCCCAGCTCCCACATCCATTTCGTCCTTACCGACATGCACTCCGCCGGCAATGTCCGGGCTCTGCTTGTTGATGCGGACCAGAACCTCGCAGGTCTTGTGGCTCAGGCCCTTGCTGTCCACGCTGGAAAGATCATCCACAAAGCTGTCGAAGCCGATCTGCGCAACGACTCCACGCACCACCTTGTCGTAGTCCAGCTTTGCCCCTGTGGTGATCTCACCAGCCACCATGACCATGTTGTCCTTGGTGGCCGTCTCACAAGCCACCTTGCTCTTGGGGTCCACCTTCAGGCAGGCATCGAGGACGGCATCGGAGACCTGGTCGCAGATCTTGTCCGGGTGGCCTCAAGTGTCTCAAAACAGTCAAAAGGAAAAGACTTTCTCTCAACTCTGCCGCTCTTGGCATGGCTCTGCTTAAACATTTCAGCCGATCTTAGCCCGTCACCTTCGTTTACCGACTCGGAGGAGAAAAGGAAGGTGCGCGCAGTGCGAGCCTTCTTTTGCGCTGGCTCCGCCATGGCTGTCTGTGAGAGTGGACTGGGGCGCACACAAAACTGCCAAAAGCTGCATCACGCATGGGCGCCGCTCACATGCTGCAAAACTGCAGGAGAGCATAATAACATTGCCGTCGCGACTCACGATCGTCTATGGACTTTGGGGGCCTCCATCGGACTCGTACGTCCTCATTGTGTGGGGCACTATGGGACCCTTCAGAGCCCCAACCTCGGTCAAAGCTTGGGCCTCTCTGGGAGCATGGCTCCTCAACCCTATCGGCGGGAGAGCAAAAACCTCGAGAGATCTGGTGGAGTGTGGCGTTCGACATGCAAGGCTTGGTTTCCGAGATACAATTCTAGCCCCTTTTCGAAGTCCCTCAATTTAACACACTAAACTGAGGATCGGAGTATACTGCATCCTCAGCTTTAACAGTTTTACCTTACTAAATTGAGGCTACATCTGGGATTTCTCCATTTAACATACTAAATTGAAAGGCTCCGTAGCTACGTAGAGCCCAGCTCCCCAATTCAACAACAAACCACAAAAACAACAACAAACAACCTTGCTTTGCAGACGGGACCGTCCA